TGTGTACTACTTAAGCAGCAATTTTCTCAGGAGCAGTGTGTTGAACCTACATGACTTGCACACATTATGAGAAGAATGGAGTAACTGATAAAAATTACTCTGTTTTTGCCAGAAATAGGTTTAGCACCACATTGTTGTTGCTTGAAGAAATTTTCTCTGAGGAAGCTGGTGGCAGATGTTGTTAGTTTGGTAGTTTTGAAGTATTCATAGAATACCAGATCACCTGAGTGATTCTTTGACAATTTTTATAGACCAGTAAGTGCCTTACTTAATAACAAAATACGAATGCCATCAAACTTTGAAAGTTTGATTTGGTATGACTTGACGTGGAAATATAATGTTCATGTCTTCAATTGTTACGGCTTCTTTGGTATTTAAGTGGTGGCTGGAGTCATTTAGCAGTGGTTTATAATCTTGAGATACAGACATCCTTCACAGGTTAGAGAGGATAGGACTGTACTAAGCCTTGTCTTTTGAGCTTTTGCAAATAATGACTGCTTGCAGTTTGTTCTCAGAGTAACTTTCATTTTTCTCCTCCCTTGGCTTGGGGCAGGACCTGCCTGCACACTGTCAGATTGGGTGCCTCCCACTGTTCCTTGGTGATCTCTCAGTAGAAAAACACCTGGCCTGACTTTGCTGTCCAAGGAACGGTGACTGGAGATGCTGTGAGCAGTGGGGTTGTGGGAAAGAGAAGTGAAAGAGCAGCAGCTTTCAGGTCTTTACCTGTATTTAAAGTGTGTGTCTGTGTTTTCATGATTTGCCCTGATTCTTCTTCTCTGCAGCCCTTTTTAACTAGTCTTTTAATAAAAGCTAGCACTTTATTTTTTCTTTTCGACATTTAAAAAGACTCAAACCTAAGAGGCAACTTCAGTATCTTCTTGTAGTCAATAGTAACTTGAGTGTTTGTCTTAGTATCTGCTAAAGTCCTGGAAAAAAATGATTAAGAAATGTTTGCTAGGCCTTGAAAGGACATTAGAAAATATGTCTAACCCCCTGCCCTGCCCCTCGATACATGATACCGCTGAGGCCTAGAAATGACTTGTTCAGGTCATATGGCTAGGTATGGGCTGAGAATGGAATCCACCACAGGGCTCCTGACTCTCTTACTGTGCTCCTTTCTAGGGACCGTGGTGACTGAGTGGAACAGGATTATGTGGAGAATATAGATTAGACATGCAGGGTGGCTTGGAATTTAGGAATGTGAATTTGATACAACTACCAATGCTGCCCCCATCCCTGTTACTTATTTACTTCTGCACAGTACCTTGTAACTGGGTTAGCTGAGGCATCTTCATATTTAAAAGTAGTCCTCATTCTATGTTGCACATATCCTAACCTAGTTTGTAAAGGTCCATACATAGGGCTCTGTGAACAGAAAAGAGAGTACTTACTATACTTACATTCTGTGGGTCTTAGTGTAAAAGTAACAAACATTTGACAGACCACCAAAACACCCACATATCAGTATTTTCCAAACTTGCTCGATTAAGGGAATCACCTGTGGTGTTCTCTTTGGAGGACTGTGTAGGAGTGGGAATCTGTTTTAAGCATATCGGTCAAGGCAAACTTGGAAAACTTTACCCCAGGGTGGGGAATTAGCTCAGTGGTACTGGTGCTTGCCTCACAAGCACAAGGTCCTGAGTTCCATCCCCAGTACCAAAATAACAACAACAACAACAAAACATTACCCTCCTTGAAACTACTGAAACTGTAAATGAGGAGTTGATATTTATTTTAGAATTACGTCGTTTCTCTTTGGCACAGTATCTAGTGTTTTTCTCTGTGACATCAGAATGCTTAAATTATTGGTGGACTCAGATATTTCACAGTCTGGAATTCGCAGGTTTATTTGTGTTTTGGAGAACATTAAAAAGGAAAGATAGGTCAGTGAACTTGAAAATTTAATAAAAGTGTTATTTGATAACTGATAACTTCAGTTAGAAGCATTTTCAGAGAGACTCGGCTGATGAAATGTAACGTAGGAGAAAATGCCTCTTTTGTGTCCCGAAGATACTGATGTAATGAATATACTACCGTCATTCTTCATTTGTCAAGTCATGCAGAAGATAAGTGGAATTTTTGTAAAACAGTCCATTGAAAAAGTATATTGAATCTCTTGTGGAAATGTATAAAAGGGGCAAGTAAGGGTGTTTGGATTGTAGGTGAGTGATCGTATTGCAGAGATATTACTGTAGTTTCATTAAGGGGCTTATAGTCAAGCTGGGTGTGTATGAAGGAAACATGTCAAGCAAGTTTAGTATTTCAGGAGTGCAGTGGTTGAGGCTGCTCACAGAAGCATTTAGCACGTTGGGCCAAACACATTTCTTGGGTACCAGATGTAGGAACTCGTAAGCAATTTTACTTAAAATTACAGTTGTTAGATGAGTTGGGATGAAAGCATGTTTTTAAATTGCTTGTTTTCTAAAGTTAGTCTGCAGTTACACTTATTTCAGTTAGATATAAAAGATTACTAGTTTGGGTGAAGGTAATGATATGTGCAATATATGTTCATAAAGCTGTAAGAAAAATAATTTTATTCTTTATTATGAGTACATATAACCCCCATTGATGCCAGCCACAGCAGGATATTAAGAATTAACCACGTTTGATTATTATATTTTCTTATAATACAGTAAAGATTTTAAGGGAATTTTAGTGATTGGAATATTCATAGACTAGTTTCACTAAAAGTGTAGGTTGAGAAACTTTAGTGGGTTTTACAAGTTAATTTAGTGATTTGCTACTGGTGGGTTTTTACATTATTTTTAGTTGTAGGGATTGAACCCGTGCCTTTGCACATGCTAGGCAAGTGCTCTACCCCTGAGCTTACCATCCCAGCCCTAGCATCTAGCACTGTTTTGTTCTTGTTTTTGTTTTTGGTACCGGGGATTGAACTCAGGCCCTTGTGCTTGCTAGGCAGGCGGTGGAGCTATTGAGCTAAATCTCTGGCCCTTAGCAGTGTTTTGAAAAAATGAAAAACAGTCTGAAAATGATAGTCCATCAACAGTAATGATAAATAATTTTTGGTAGAACTTTCAGTTACTTATTTGTTGTGTTGTGTGCAAATGTGTATATGTGAATGAGTACTAGGTTGCTATAAAACATACTTGTTCATGGATATATGGTCAAGAAACATTGAAAGCCATTGTCCTAGTTTATAATTTTGTCAGAGCCAGAAGACTAAGTTCGCTATTGTCATGTCACCCTCGCTTGTATGTATCTTCTGAAGGAAAGAGGCCTGAAAATGAAATGAGAAGAGGCTTTTGAAAGAGACTTTTGCAGCTAAATAACTGTAACAGTTTGTGTGTCATATAAAGTAGTGATACTCATTCCTCATGTGTTCCTGTTGTCTCATATGTCAAGTGTAAATTATATGTTTTCCTGGGTAAAATCTTCAGAAGTGACTGGGCAGATTTTAATTATATACTTATTTGTTTTTTCATATTATTGTCTTTCTTCCTCTTCTTTGCTTTGTCTTTATGCCTATATGTCTCAGTCTTTTGTGTTTCCTTCTCTGTTATCTATCTTTTGTTTCATTTCTGTAATACGAATATTATCACAACATTGCTTGTATTCCTAGTGTAACTTTTAGGAATAAAGGCCGATATACTGTCTTTTATGGCATATAGTTAGTCTAAATTGCATTTCTCAACCTTTCTGGACGTGTTCTCAAGAGGGCCAGAAATGTTGGATCACCTTGTGAGCAAGTTGGGTGTGGCCTTAGGGCTGAGGAGTCTCTTGGTTGCGTTAAGGAATGCTCCAGTTGCTCTGATCTAGTCTTGGAGAAAGCAGGAGTCCTCTGTGGGCTGCCTCTGCCATCTTCTCACTTAGCCTGCTTTTTGCAGTGTTGGGTAGCGCATGGAGCTTGTCAAAGTGAGCCAGTGAACAAGCTGGCCATTTGCCTTTCCCTGCCAGGAGAGTTCTTTACCTGTGATACTAGGTTTGGCTCCAATAAAGAAGCATATAAATATATATATATGAGAGACAGGGCTTCACTGTGTAGCTCAGGCTGGCCTTGAACCTATGGCAATCCACCTGCCTCAGCCTTCCATGGGATTACAGTTCCACCACACCTGTGAGAAGCATATCTTGATCTCCCATTATTTTGTTTTTCATTGCATGAGACAGTTAAGGGATCTTCTGATACTAGGAAGATCTGAAAATTAACTAAATATTTACAGGGCTAAATGAGGATCAGTAATTATATGTATTGAGTTCACACATAGTGATTTTTTTTCCTGTTGTGTCATAGATTTCTTTGTCTTGGTAGGATCAGTTCAACTACTATAGCAAAGGCCAATAAAGCAGAAGTTTAAACATGGTAAATAGTGGTTTATGTCTCATTTAACCCTCTGAGTGTAAGCAGTGAAGGACAGTTACGGTACCTCCATGGTGTTGGGGCCCTAGAATCCTTCTGTTTTGTAGCTTTGCCACATTTAATGTAAAGCTTTTATGCTATAGCTTGAGATGACTGTTCTTGTTCTTACCACCACACTATTGGCATTCCATTTATGAAAGAGGGAAGGAATAGCGAACGCAGCTTCCTTTAAGGTTGCAACCAGAAAGTGTATACCTGCTACTGCTGTGCCATTATGTAGACCTAGTCACATGGTCATGCTTGCCTGCAAAGGAGGCTGGGAGATACTCTTCAGCCCCCTGCCTTAGAAAACATCTGTGAAGTATAAGGAGGATCTCCACCATAATAATCAGCAACAACAAAGGTTTACTTATTTTGTTCTAACTCATTATTGTGTTATGGTGAGAAATTTTCCAGTGGTGTTTTTAAGTAGACTTGAGCTACTGAAAAGAGGTAAGCTGAATTAATCCCTCTTTGGGGTTGTAAATCAAATTCATTCTAATAGTTATAGGGGTGAGTGTGAACTATGTTAAGAAACAAGGTTACTTTTCTCTGTTATTTTTCTTGTGTTTTTTTTTTTTTTCTCCCTTCTTAAGGCTAAATTCATACTTGTTTTTGTTTTGTTTTGTTTTGTTGTTCCTAGGCATGGCACAGTCACAAGGCTGGATGAAAAAGTACTTCAAGGCCTTTTGTAAAGGCTTCTTTGTGACAGTGCCTGTGGCGGTGACTTTCCTGGACCGGGTTGCCTGTGTGGCAAGAGTGGAAGGAGCGTCCATGCAGGTGAAAATGAATTCAACTTCATTTTTTAAAGCACAGGCTTTATTATTTCTTAAGCACCAAAAAATGAGAGTTGTAGTTCTTATTTCTATGCTGGAAACTGAAAGGTTTTAAAAAGGCATTGCAATGCAATTTCACTTTACTAAATTTCTTCATAAAATCATATAAAAATAATAATAAAATGCACTACTATTAAAATCAGGGGAGAGGTGAATCAAAATAAGTATCAAATACTTCTCATGATGAATTTGGGTTTCTTTCTGAGAACTGTAATAGGGATTCTGAGAAATTTTATCGACACCAGTTTCTGTGAATATGGCCATATTTGAATATCCTTGTAAGATCAGTTTGTTAATACAGTTGTAGGATGGGTTTGGGTCAAAGTCAGTTGTTCTACCAATACCTGATTTCAGTTTGTAGAAAAGTCTAGATCATTGATCCCAAATATCCTAGTGTGCTTTTTAAGCAAGTTGCTGATTGAAACTGTTGAGTGCCATAAACTGGGCATGGTGCTACTAATCAGTAATCTCAGCACTGTGGGAGGCTGAGGCAGGAGGATGACAAGTTGAAACCAGGCCTGGGCAACTTATTGACTTAGCAGGACCCTGCCTCAAAATTAAAAATAAAAATAGTAAGAAAGGCTGTGGGTATAGCTCATTGTGAAGTGCTGGGTTCAATACCAAGTACTGAAAAGGAAAACAAAATGTTAAGGACCGTGGAATTACGTTGGGGTGGACATTTCCAAAAGCTATATGTGAATACTTTATAGCCTTCTGGAATAACTAGAGAAAATTTTGCTGTTCTACAGTTGAGCATTCTGTTCTGCAGTTCTACATTTTGAACCTCACTGTATGAGCTCATGTAGGTAGGCAGTCTTTGCATTTTGTAATATGATTTAGTTTGTCTCATTATTAGCATGTATTAAGTTCCTGCATTGTGACAAATAGCTTTGTAAAACAATAAATACATACTTCTGAGAAATTAAAATTATATAGAAAATAAGCAGCTTAACTGTTTTCTTCTTGCTTTGGTTAGACCTCATTAAGGGTGTAGACATCAGCTTTAAGGAGTTATGATGAATTTATCTTACTTATTGTAGTTATGGTATTGAAAATCAGACTCCTTACTGAGTTCTGGTAGTCAGTGGGATAAAGGAGGTCAGCAGACTCTTAGAGTGGGTGCTCTTTGGATGCAGCTAAAGGTTGAAGGCAGGGCTGCCTTTGTATTTGGTTCTGACTGCATCCTTTGAGCATGGTTAGGCCCTGCTGGTCGGGGGACTCTGACCTGAACTTTGTCTTGCAGTTCCCCTCCATAGCAGGTCACCAGCCAGAGCAAACTGACCACTTACTTTGAATACAAAAATGTTTAAATTCTGGGGTACAGTAAACATAGGCAGAGTGATTTACTGATATATGACTGTATTTATTTATTTTTAAAGGGCTCAAACTCAGGACCTTGTGCTTGCAAGTCAGGTGCAGTACCACTGCACTAAATCCCTGTCCTCATATTTCTAAATACAATTTAATGCATTTAACACAGATTGAATTTTATAATTTCTGCCTCTTTATTCCTGAATTCCTAAAAGCCTGATCTAATCTTTAGAGAAATATAGCCCCTTTTTTGGTAGAGCTTTTGAGTCAGATTTTTCATTTCAGATTAAAACTGCCTTCTCCACAGCAGCTCAAACCACATTTTGGTCCCTTGGGTTCCTTTGAATCCAGCCATGGGTTTGTATCTTTGAGTGATCAAGAATGAGATTCATGATTTTCTCCAGTTTCTTTACTTTTGTCTTGCTACACAACCATGTAGAAGCCATGAGAAAATATTTTCCAGAATAAAAACCTCCTTACTGTGGATCTCATAATAGCCGAGAGGATCATGTGGCAATCGAGTATTCCAGTCTTCATATAACCCATTACATTCCTATTAAGCACCCATGTTTATGACTCTGAGAAATGCCAAGAAGATTCATTAAAAATGTATGATTTTTACAAATTAATTTTATTGGTACATTTAATGTAGACATTATAATGACATTCATTGTTGGAAATTTCTACCTTTACATATCCAATCTTGGTTCTTATTTTTTCCCCATTCCCTTGCCCTCCCTTCAACCCCTCCTCCCTCCATATCTACAAAGACTCTGTGATTGTCTTATGCAAGGACAAGCCTTATTATCAGTGAAGATGGTGTTAAACCTTGTCATTCCCAAGTGCAAGTCCATGGACTAATGATGTCAGCCTTGCATGAGATGCCTTGGTATCTGCGCATTAACATTGCCTTTAGTATTTTCGGGTCCCACCTCCACAAGAAATGAAACTTACTACCTTGGAAATTTGTTTAGTTCAAATGAATTGTATATTATTATATATATAT